GTGTCGTGAATAAGTCGCTTCAAAAATATTAGCCAATTCCTTGCATGAAAGTATTCGCATTATTGAGAACAAGCGAACAATTCTCAGGGTCATTTCACCTGGTCATAAGAGGCTTGATTGGATCCAAAATTGTACATGTCTCCCACGAAAAGGCAGGTCAGTTTCTTTGCAGGCACCACTGAAAAGTGGAAATCATTATTCTTGCATTTATCATGAGTTTTAATTTTATCACACGTAAAATATGTAGTGGGCCAGTATCAACCAGCAAATGATACTATAGTCAGTTGAAAATCGTGATATGGAACTTACGCGATTTACGGCTGCGGCTTCTACGCACACCTAATCATGTCGATGATCAAGAAGAACAGCATTGCAGTAGAATCAACGCGCGCAGAGAAACGCTATAAGGCCGATGTCATAGTTTGCAAATCGAGCGATTCGCTAGCGAATCAACCGATGCACCAGCGAGTCCAACTATGTACCAGCGACTCAACACTTACAAAAGTTACGGGACCCATGTTTTAGAGGAAGGCCCACCTTTTTCAATAAGTGTGGTCCTTAACACGTTGACTACATCGCACGTTTTGGCACTTTGCACTGCGTGAGACAAGAGCGATTTTGCAAAAGCACCGTGCTCACCTTTCTCACGATTAGTTTCTGGTTAAGACCTTTAAAAATTTGAATCCCACACAATTATTTCGGCAAGGATGAAAGCATAAAGGTTAACTACGCATATAAATGGCGTTTTTGTTTACAAGAACGCATAATGACCACGAAGACTCAAAAACATCAATTGCGCTGCGAATGAAATTAAAAGAACTCATACCTACTGTCGCGAAACACGAAGATCCGCTCCAACAGAACCCTGGGCGCGCCGGTGCCTACGAGCATCTGCCGATATGACCCAGCCTGATCTCTCCGTGATCGTGCGGCAACGCACGGGCCGGTAGCATCGGCACCATCACGGCCTGGCCTGGTATCCCTTCGTCTTCGGTTCTTCCCTGTCGTCGTATTCTTCGGCAGACTCGTAGGGCTCTAGCCCTTAGAACTACATTCGAGAATTCTAGATTCCAATCTATCGTGGTCGAGCGGCGGGTCGATGGAAGCGACCCGACGTGAGTTAATTTTGTACTAACCTTTTATATTTCATTTATGATTTCGGTTAAGTAGTTTAGTAGAATGAATTTGAAGTTAAGTCATAAAACTTACTAGTTCTTTGTGTTTGCGTCGTGTAGTATAGTAAGCCCGACACATACAGTTTGTTGGTAATTAAACTAGTGTTGCTTAGGTTAGTCGGTAGGACTCAAAGTAGGATATGGTAAGATTTGTTGTTAGTCCACTTGCGCCCCAGTAGGTTTCTGCAGAGCCGGCTGGTAGGCTGTACGTGCTTTATCTCTTACTTGGTTCCTGGTTTCCCCTTTGGGCGCCCTAAGTCTCCTCCTGGACCCACCGATCCGCAACATCTACACAGAGTTTTGTAATAACTGCTTCCACAATCTTTCATATGAAATTTCTCGACAATGAAAGGAAGACTGGGAAAGAATTGAAAAGAGACGTTTGCGCCGTTAGAAAACTTTGCTAAACCAAGGGGTGTTCGACCACTCTGGCTGCCATGTGTTTATATTTATGCTAATGTATTATCTATAGAATAGATGCAGAAAGCTCGAGATGAAGGAGCGCAAGCACAATAAAAATGGATGACATAACGCGTCAGCCTGTCGTGAACGTGTCAAAGTGGACTTCCTTCAAATGTTGGATCCCGCCACTTCCAAACAGCGCCGGGTCGATGATGCATAGTTTGACTGGCTGGTGCATCGGTTGAGTAGCTGGTGCAACACTCGATTCCCTGGGGCAACTCTCAGACCCAGGGATTCGCCGACGAATCGCTCGATTTGCAAACTATGACATCGGCCTAAGGCCGTGGTTGGATGCCAAAATCTATTAAATTTGGTGTATCTCAAGTAATAAGTTGCTAGCGCACATGACTCATCAGCAAAAAATATTTGAATTTACACCAGTAGACTGCTTCTCTCAGCGAGAATGCTTTCTCATATCGTGGCATGTCTTCTTTCATTCATCTCCTACAGAAAACCATAACGTAATGTTCGACATCTTTAGGAGCGAATCGGTTCCGTGCCGCTAAGGTGGAAGATTTCCAGTTTGGCAAAGTCGAGCAGAAATCGCAATAACACCAGCTCACAGACATCGCATGGACACGCATTATTACTGCGAGAATGTGAAGAAAACACGCCTAACCTTCTTATGACGTTATACGTGGAACATATTCACCTGTCGTCAATGGCACAGTAGCTGTAAAAGTAGTAGGCTCCGTTTTTGTAGAAGAAGGTCTCACAGCAGTCGATGTTGGTGTAGACGTCGTTGAACTTGGTTGTTCTGTTGCAAACGTAGGCTCTACTGCTGTCAACGTCGGTAATGAGGCGAAGACCGTAGGCGTTGTTATTGTTGGCGACGTAGGCTCTGTCGTCGTGGAAGGTGGTGCTGTAGTTGTTGTCGTTTGTGCTGTTGTGGTTGAAGTCAGGGGTTCAGACGTCGACGTGGGCTCTGTCGTCGTGGAAGGTGGTGCTGTAGTTGTTGTCGTTTGTGCTGTTGTGGTTGAAGTCAGGGGTTCAGACGTCGACGTGAGCTCTGTCGTCGTGGAAGGTGGTGCTGTAGTTGTTGTCGTTTGTGCTGTGTTGGTTGATGTCAGGGGTTCAGACGTCGACGTGAGCTCTGTCGTCGTGGAAGGTGGTGCTGTAGTTGTTGTCGTTTGTGCTGTTGTGGTTGAGGTCAGGGGTTCAGACGTCAGCGTGCGGCTCTGTCGCAGGGGGAACTGGTGGTCGGTAGGTTGTTGTCGTTTTGTGCTGTTGTGGTTGAGGGAGGGGCTCAGACGGCGACGTGGCTGTCGTCGTTGGAAGGTTGGTGCCTGTAGTTGTTGGTCGTTTGTACTGTGTGGCTTGAAGTCAGGGTGTTTCAGACGCGACGTGGGCTCTGTCGTTGGTTAAGAGAAGGTGGTGCCTGTAGTTGTTGTCGTTCTGTTGCTGTTGTGGTTGAAGTCAAGTTCAACGTCGGACGTGGGCTCTGTCTTGTAAAGGTGTGCTGTAGTTGTTGTCGTTGGTTGCTGTGGCAGACGTCGATGTGGGCCTCTGTCGTCGGTGGAGGGGGTGCTGTAGTGTTGTCGCTTTGGTCTGTTGGCGTCGGACGTGGGCTCTGTCGTTTGTAAGAAGGTGGTTGCTGTTAGTTGTTTTCGTTTGCTGCTGTTGTGACGTTGAGAGGAGGGCTCAGACGTCGACGTGGCTCTGTCGTCGTGAAGGTGGTGCTGTAGTTGTTGTCGGCGTGTGCTGTTGTGGTTAAAGTCAGGGGTTCAGACGTCGACTGGTGGGCTCTGTCGTCGTGGAAGGCGTGCTGTAGTTGTTGTCGTTGTGCTTTGTGGTGAAGTCAGAGGTTCAGACGTCGACGTGCGCTCATGTCTCGTGGAGGATCGGTGCTGGAGTGCCTTGTCGTTTGTTGCCTGTGTGGTTGAAGTCAGGGTTCGACGGCGACGTGGGCCGTCGTCGTGAAGGTGGTGCTGTAGTTTGTTGTCGTTACTGTTGTGTTTGAAAGTCAGGGGTTAGACGTCGACGTTGGCTCTGTCGGTCGTGGCGAAGTGTGCTGTAGTTGTATTGTCGTGTGTGTGTTTGGTTGGGTCATCAGGGTTCAACGTCAGTGGGCTCTGTCTAGGGAGGTGGTCGGTGGTGTTGTCGTTTGTGCTGTTGGGGTTGAGGTCAGGGGTTCAGACGTCCGCGTGGGCCCTCTGTCGTAGTGAGGTGTGCGGTAGGTGTTGTCGTTTGTGCTGTTTGTGGGGAAAGGTGACGGGGCTCAGACGTGCGACGGCTCGGTCGTCGTGGAAGGTGTGCTGCTAGTGGGTTGCGTTTGTGCTGTGTGGTGAGGTCAGGGGTATCAGACGCACGTTGGCTCTGTCGTAGTGGAAGGTGGTGCGGGAGGTGTTGTCGTGTGTGTTGTTGTGGTTGAGGGTCAGGGTTTCAGACGTCAGCCGTGGGCTCGTCGGTTTGGAAGTCGTCGGTAGGTTTGTCGTTTGCTGCTGTTTGGTTAGGGACGGGCTCAGACGTCGACGTTGGGCTCGTCGTCGTGGCAAGCGTGGTGCGTTTAGTTGTTGCTCGGTTGCTGCTGTGTTTTAAGCTCCAAGGGTTTCAGACGTCGACGTGGCTCTGTCTTTGGGTAGAAGGTGTGCTGTAGGTTGTTGTCGTTTGGCTGTGGCCGTCGATGGTGGGCTCTGTCGTCGGTGGAGGGTGGTGCTGTGTAGTTGTTGGCGTTTGTTGCTGTGGTCGTCGACGTGGGCTCTGTCGTGTGTAGAGGTGGTTGGCTTAGTTTGTTGTCGTTTGCTGCTGTTCTGTGGTTGAGAGGAGGGCTCAGCGTCGACGTGGGGCTTTTTTTTGTCTGTCGTCGTGAAGTTGGTGCTGTAGTTGTTGTCGTTTGTGCTGTTTGTGCGTTGAAGTCAGGGGTTCAGACGTCGACGTTGCTCTGTCGTCGTGGAAGGTTGGTGCTGTAAAGTTGTTGTCGTTGGTGCTGTTTGTGGTTGAAGTCAGAGAGTTCAGACGTCGACGGGTCTGCTCTCGTGGAAAGTGTGCTGTAGTTGTTGTTCGTTGTGCTGTTGTGCGTTGAAGTCAGGGGTCAGACGTCGACGTGGGCTCTTCGTCGTGAGGGTGGTCGCTGTAGTGTTGTCGTTTGTCCTTGTTGGTTGAAGTCAGGGGTTCAGACCGTCGACGTGGGCTCTTGTCGTCCTGAAGGGTGTGCGTAGTTGTGTGTCGTGTCCTGTTGTGTTGAAGTCGGGGTTCAGACGATCGACGTGGTCTGTCGTCGTGAAGGGTGGTGCTGTAGTTGTTGTCGTTTAGTCTTTGTGAGTTGAGTCAGGGCCGTTCAGACGTCGACGTGGCTCTGTGCGCTGTGGAAGTGGTGCTTGTAGTTTGGTCGTGTGGTGCCTGTTGTGGTTGAAGTTCAGGGGTTCAGACGTCGACGTCGGGGCTCTGTCGTCGTGGAAGTGGTGCTGTAGTTGTTGTCGTTTTGCGCTTTGTGGTTGGAGTCAGGGGTCCAAACGTCGACGAGGGCTCTGGTCGTCGTGGAAGGTGGTGCTGTACTTGTGTCGTTGTGCTTTGTGGTTTTGAGGTGAGGGGTTCAGACGTCGACGAGGGCTCTGTCGTCGATGGAGGGTGTTGCTGTAGTTTGTTGTCGTTTGTGCTGTTGTGGTTTGAAGTCAAAAGGCCGTTCAGACGTCGACGTCGGGCTCTGTCGGCGTGGGAGGTGTGCTGTAGTTTTGTCGCTTTGTGCCTGTTGTGGATTGAAGTCAAGGGTTCAGACGTCGACGTGGCTCTGTCGTGTAGAAGGCTGGTGCTGTATTGTTGTTTTGTGCTGGTGGCGTCCGATGTGGCTCTGTCGTCGTGGAAGGTGGTGCTGTAGTTGTTGTCGTTTTGCCTGTTGTGGTTGAAGTCAGGGCTCAGACGTCGACGGCTCTTCGTCTGAAAGGTGGGCTGTAGTTGTTGTCGTTTGTCCTGTTGTGGTGAGGTCAGGATTCAGACGTCGACGTGGCTCTGTCGTCGTGGAAGGTGGTGCTGTATGGTTGGTAGTTGGTGCTGTTGTGGTTGAAGTCAGGGGTTCAACGTCGACGTGGGCTGCTGTCCGTCGTGGAAGGTGGGCTGTAGTTGTTGTCGGGTTGCGCTGTTGCTGGTTGTGAGTCATGGGGTCCAGACCGTCGAAGTGCGGCTCTGTCGTCGTGGAAGGGGTGCTGTACGGGTTGTCGTTTGTGGTTGTGCGTTGAGTTGAGGGTTCAGCGTCGACGAGGGCTCTGCGTTGCTTAGAAGGTTGTGCTTGTAGTTGTGTCGGTTGTGCTGTTGGTGAAGTCAGGGGTTCAGACGTCGACAGTAGCTTCTGGTCGTCGTGGAAGTGGGCTGTAGTTGTTGTCGTTTGTGCTGTGGTTCGTCGACGTGGCTTCCTGTCGTCGGTGGAAGGTGGTGTAGTTGATTAGTCGTTTGGCTGTTGTGGTTGAGTCAGGGGTTCAGACGTCGACGTGAGCTCGTGTCGTTGTAGAAGGTTGCATGTATTGTTGTCGTTTGTTGCTGTGTCGTTCGACGTGGGCTCTTCGTCGTGACGAGGGTGTCGAGTTGTTGTCGTTTGTCCTGTTGTGGTTGAAGTCAGGGGGTTCAGACGTCGACGTGAAGCTCTGTCGTCGTGAGAGGGTGCTGAGTTGTTTGTCCGTTTTGCTGTGGTACGTCGACCTGGGCTCTGTCGTCGTGGAGGGTGGGTGCTGTAGTTGGTGTCGTTTGTGCTGTGTGTGAGGTCAGGTTCAGACGGCGACGTGAGCTCTGTCGTTGTAGAGGTGGTGCTGTAGTTCGTTGTCGTTTGCTTGCTGTTGCGGTTGATAGTCAAGGGTTCAGACGTCGACGTGGGGCTCTAGTCGTTGTAGAAGGCTGTGCTTTAGTTGTTCCTTCGTTTGTGCTGTGGCGTCGATGTGGGCTCTGTCGTTCGTGGAGGGTGCTGTAGTTGTTGGCGTTTGTGTTTGTGGTTGAATCAAGGAGTTCAGATTGCGACGTGGGCTGTTCGGGGGGCGTGGAAGGTGGGCGCTGCTAGGTTGTTGTCGGTTTGTGCTGTTTGTTGTGGGGGAGCGTCAGGTTTTCGAACGTCACACGTGGCTCTGTCGTCGTGGAAGGTGTCTGTGGTGTTGTCGTTTGTGCTGCAGTGGGTGTGAAGTCAAGTGTTTTCAACGTCGGACGTAGCTCTCGTTGTAGAAGGCGTGGATGCTTGTAGTGTTGTCGTTTCTTTGCTGCTGTGTGGTTAGAAGTCAAGTTTCAAGACGTCGACGGGTGGCCTCTGTCGTTGTAGAATGGTGGTGCTGTAGTTTTGTCGGGTTGTGCTGGGCCGTCGAATGTGGGCTCTGTCGTCGTGGAGGGTGGTGTGTAGTTGTTGTCGTTTGTGTTGTCTGCGATGAAGTCAAAAGGGTTCGGACGCGACAGTTGAGCTCTTGTCGTTGTAGAGTGGGTGGTGTTCGTAGTTGGTGTCGGTGTGTGGTTGTGGTTGACAGTTCAAGGGTTCAGACGTCGACGTGGAGCTCTGATGCGTTGTAGAAGGGGGGCTGTAGTGTTGCGGTTTGTGTTTGTGGTGGAACGTCAGGCGTTCAGACGTCGACCGTGGGCCTGTCGTTGTAGAGGTGGTGGCTGTGTTGTTGTCGTTTTGTTGCCAGTGCGTGAAGTCAAGGGTTCAGACGTCGACGTGAAGCTCTGTCGTGGTAGAAGGTTTGTGCTGTAGTTGTCTGTCGTTTGTGTCTGTTGTGGTTGACAGTCAAGGGTTCAGACGTCGACGTGGGCCTCTGGCGTTGTAGAAGGTGGGTGCTGTAGTTGTTTTGTCGTTTGTGCCTGTGGCGTCGATGTGCGGCTCGTGCGTCGTGAGGTGTGCGTAGTTGTTGTCTTTGTGTTGGGTGTGGTTGAAGTCAAGGCGTGCGGACCGTCGACGTGACTCTGTCGTATGCTAGAAGTGGTGTCGTAGTTGTTGTTCGTTGTGGCTGTTCGTGGTTGAAGCAAGGTCTCAACGTCGACGTGGCCGGCCGCTTGTGAAGGTGGTCTTGTTACGTTGTGTGTCGTTTGTGCCGGTGTGTTAGGCCGACGTCGACGTGGGCTCTGTCGTCGTGGAGCGTTGTAGTTTTTTTGGTTTGTGAAGTAATTCGACGTTCGGTATGTCGTGTAGTGTTCTATGTGGTTTGTGCGTTGTTGTGCGTTGAAGTCAAGGGTTCAGATCGTCGACGTGGGCTCTGTCGTCTGGAGAAGGTGCAGGCTGCTAGTTGTTGTCGATTTGTTGCTGTTGGGCTTGTGTAAGTCAGGGTCAGATGTCGACGTGGGCTCTGTTCGTCGTGTGAGGGTGGTGCTGTAGTTGTTGTCGTTTGTGTTGTTGTGGTTGAAGTCAGGGGTCAGTCGTCGACGTGGGCTCTGTCGTTGTTAGAAGGTGGTGCTGTAGTTGTTGTCGTTTGTGCTGTTGTGGTTGAGTCAGGGGTTCAGAGCGACGTTGGGCTCTGTCGTGGGGAGGGTGGTGCTGTAGTTGTTGTCGTTGTGTGTTGTTGTGGTGAGTCAAGGTTTCCAGTCGTCGACTGGGCTCGGTCGTTGTAGAAGGTGGTGCTGTAGTTGTTGTCGTTGTGTGTTGTGGTTGAGGTCAGGGGTTCAGATGTCGACGTGGGCGCTCTGTCGTCGGGAAGGTGGTGCTGTAGTTGTGCGTTGTGCTGTTGTGGTTGAGGTCAGGGGTTCGAACGTCAACGTGGCTCTGTCGTCGGGAAGGTGGTGCTGTGGTTGTGGTCGTTTGTGCTGCAGTGGTTGAAGTCAAGGGTTCAGACGTCGATGTAGCTCTGTCGTGTGCAAGAAGGTGGTGCTGTAGTTGTTGTCGTGGGTGTGCTGTTGTTGGTTGAAGTGAAGGGTTCAAACGTCGACTCGGGCTCTGTCATTGTAGGTTCTAGTAATGTAGTCGCCAGAATAGGGCGTCAAGTCTCTATCCGTCGATTTTACTTCGGGTTGTTGAACTGTTGAGCGGGTGATGCTGTAGAGGTCTGCGCTTCATAGTGCTTGTTGAAATTCGGCATTGTCGAAGGGACTGTTTGTTTTGCGTTAAGGAAATGGCATGCGTCGTTACCGCAGCCGGTCTTGGGTATCAAAGTAGTGCTGCGTTGGTTGGAACTACCGTTGTCGGTGATTGTGTTGCTGATTATGAAGAGCGGTTGTGGGTTGCATTAGCTACAACAGTGGTACGCAAGCCCTCTGTTGTACGACCTGCAATCAAAATGGTGAATAAGAAGTGTATACAGAGCGTAGGTACTGGTACTCTAACTAAGGCTTTAAATTTTTAGTGAGCTGCTCAAGTATCCTGTAATAAGTAGAGCGCAAGCACAATGAACCTACTTATCAATACGGCGTTTACCAATGTCAGATTTGCTTAGTTGTATGAGCTTTTATCTGTTTTACTCTAAGTTTATTCGAAACTTTGTCACTTTTTCTATTTACTATATTAGTTGTCGCGGGCTTTGACAACGCTTCTTTGTTGTCTCAAGGATTCCGCGAGCTGGTTAAGGACACGAGATGGCGGGCAGGAGAAGGCATACGAGCGGCGGCAATTGTAGGACGTCAGAGGGCTGGATTGACTGGAACATGGCTGGGGATAGGGTCACTCATGGCCCCATAGGACCTAGGCTACAAAGAGGCTTGCACGAACTACTTCTCGCCCTGCCTCTTGTGCTCTGGTGTTTTCCGCCGACAAATGTGTTATTTCGTAGATGACTGACTGTACACTGAAGGGATAAAACCTCGAGTTGCTAATCTCTATACCATGATATCTCTGTTGATTTTGTGCCCAATTATATTTTTCATCATATTTATTTTTTATCCGGACTGCAAAAACCACTCAAATGAGAAATCGTATACAACTCAATTCTTTGCTTGAAATATTTTGCTTGTTAGCCGCCCATTTGTTGGATTTCTCTCGTAGAAAAGTTATGTTTCAAGCACCACAACAAATAAGTTGGACATGAGCTACTAAGACTATTAATAGTGGACCCAAACCAGAGAACTTAAGATTGGGAAAGCCCGAGGGGTAGATTAGACGCATGTGGATTGATTAATCAATGAAAAAAGGTGTCGTATGTTACAAGGCAGGATCACAAGCAGTCTCCACTAGGACTCTCTCTCTGCGACTCTCTATTCTTACTCGTGTTTACGCATGTTTTTATTCCAGCGGACTCTTCGTTCCCCAAAACCACGATTAGTGCAAATCGATAACAAATCTGTGCTTCCCCTTTCGAAAAAAAAACGAAAAGAGCATGGGTGCAGACCATACATACATCACAAGTGAGGACGGCCTTCGAGTAAATTTTTTTAGTAGTGGTTCCCAGTGATAGCTGATCTTGGTAAATGATATTGTAATTAGTGACAACTGATAGAATACAACACCAACAGGCTAGTCATTCTATCGGCAGAAAACATTAACATTTGGTCGAGGCCGTCGTCCCTTTTGTTGTATAGTCTGCACCCAACGCTCTCCTGTTGTGCCTACATTTATTGCGAATTCCGAGCCGATCAGAAATTCGATGATATTTTGATTGAATTTCTATGACATGAACTCGTGATACTGGTATTCCAACTTTAAGCATGCAGCGAATGGTGCAAAACAAAGAATGCAGTGAGCGTTAAGCCCGGAAATATTGCTACGCAGCTATTTTTTCGTGGATTTGCATTCACTTACCAAATTCGGCGACTCTGTAAGCCACACTGTCCCTGTCATCCTTGCCAATCACATTCTCTATCGAGTGATTGTAGTAGAGGCTAACGTATTCTGCAGATAACGTGTTGGATATAAACATCGTTCTTCTTCGATGAGCTAGCTTTCTTTAACAAGCTCATTTATATCACTCATGTCGCTTGGATCGTCCCTTAAAAAGATCCATCGTTTCAGATAGGATATTTGAACATGCACAAGGGAAACCGCATCAGCTTCTCAGTAACCTGAACATATAACTAGGCGTATCGCAAAGGAAGTTATTCTGGCAAAGCGCTGCGCCAATCTCGATCAAGATGAACCCTTTATCAGAAGAGAAGAAAACCGTCGACGAGCGCGAAACAGGAGTCTCCCTCACCTAAGGGGCGAAGTGACATAGCACTGCGATGTGGATGAGGTAAGTGGTGTTGGACAGGGCCAGTGCTGTATCCTAAAGACTTAGCGCTTCGGTCTTGTTGAATCAACCCGACAATTCTTTGTGTAGCACTGCATTTTTCGGAGAAAACCTTAAATTAGACCAGAAATTCCGCAAATTGCCCTCAATGATGCACGAGTTTCGCAACGCAAAGTAATGATATGTTGCGCCGGTAATAAGAGGGGGAGGGGCTCCTCACGCTTCTACGGTGCATATCGTTTCGTGACCTACCCATCCCAAACTGAGCCCAGACTCTATACTTTATTTCAGATGATAAGTACATTTCGTGACAGGCCATACATCTTCATCACCTTAAGGAAGCACCAGTTTGAACCCAAACGCTAGCGCGCACACTGTTATCCTATGGCGAAAACGTTAGCCCACCATTATCATCTGTCCATATCTACCTTGCCCTCGCCGATTCTTTTGTCTTTTAACAAATCCAACCCCCTTGGTGCACTCATCGCCCACCGCAGGTGTGAATTTAAGTAGCGATGTGCGCCTTGTACATCTTAACCCCTGCCCCGATCGAACTTGAGCCGGTCTTCCCACTTGATTTTCGAAGTAATAACAAAAAATAGATTGGCAAGCGGTTTTTGAGAGTATTTCACTTTTGAAACCATTCGATGCTCCCCTAATTACAACAGCATTCATTGACTGCTTTTTAATCCATAGAGAGAATATCAACCTTGAACTCAAACAGGGCTTAAAAATTATAAATTATTCAAATTCATCGAAACCTTTCAAAAAATCGCGTAATTATCTTATCCAAATAAAATAAAGCATAACCCCACAAAGGAAACACCTGAACAACCACTAACATCTAGCAATTTTACCATATTGTCGAACACTCTAAAGTCGGTAATACAGTAACTGGCTCTAAATTGATCCGATTAGCTGATCAATCCAATGGGTCAATTAGTTGATTTATTTGATTGTCAACTAACGAACTCACTTCCTGGGGAGGCATTATCTTCAATTTTCCCTTCGAATAGGTAGGAATAGGTCCAAATCTCCTTCATGTTCGCAGCGCTTTTTTCAACAGACGTCTTTGTAGCTTTTCCCTCAAAGGTTCTGTGATGCTTGGCTGAGCAGGCTGACTCCTTCAAATGCACCCAGTACACGAAATTACTCCGGCATGTAATTGAAAGACACGATGTTTTGATTAGTTGATCTGCTGATAGACAAAGTCAGTGTCATGCGACCGCCATGTCTTTGAGTACATATATTATAGAATTCATTAGCTCATGAAAAGTGCACGCTGTATTAGAGTAGAAGTAGGGTGTTCTTGGCCAAGCCCAAAGTGGAGTTTCTTGCAGTGTTATAACGTCATATGGAGCGGGGATTATATTATAAATTTCTCATGTTCGACAGTGAGAGTACTAGTACGTACGTCGCCCTAAGAGGGAACGTCCTGATCCAAAGCATCAGCTGTCAACTGTGAAACGCGACGGTAGTTCGATAAGGCTGCCCCAAAAAAGCGGGACCACTTTACACTCAGTAATGAAGGCGAACGTGTGCTGTTAGTTTTTTTCGAAGGTGTTTGGCCGGTGTCAGATTTCAGGCGAATCGAGCAAATCGACAGTGAACTGCGGGTTACGGGCTTACACCAGAGAATCGAGCTGTGTACCAGTACGAGCAGTTGGAACGATGTACCAGCGACATGACACTCTTAAAGTGATGGAATTCCCTCTCGTTTGCACGTTGACTTTCGCCACTTTTAAAAGCTCTCATTCAATCTCACTCTATCATGCTCTCGTGAGCCCGGGAAAGTGGCTAGAGCCAACGCTCAAATGGATTCAAAAGGTCACTTTCGAGAAGTGTCGAGTTGCTGGCACATCGTACGTTATTTTATTTGAATACACTTATTAGTTATGTTGGTTTTTCGCCTGCTTTCAATAAGTTCGTATAACCTATAAGTTTTCCAACCAACAACGATTTGAGCTAAAGAATGATATTTTTCTATGGATTAGAAAACACTTACGAAATAGCTGGTGCTCATTTGAAGACCAATCTCGATTTTCAGAGGAAAAACTGCATATGTAATGATAGGATAATAACGAGGAACTAACAGTCTGACTTCGCACGGCAGGTAGAATACGAGAAGATCATCGCCTCTTCCTTGGGTCAGCTGCATGAACTTGTCGAATGCCCTGAAGTTTCTTTCCTCAATTTAATGAAATTTAGGGATGCATGGCACTTCATGGCACGTTGACAAATATACATGAACAATGTGATTGAAGATTGCAGCAAACACTTTTATGATTCCCTGCAGAGCTATTTTCCCAAAATTTTGTGTCAGTGCATTCTCAAAGAAGTCTCTTCATTTGATTTCGTTAGAGGCTTCTCTTAAATCGTCGCCTATACCATTGCGTGAATGCTTCTTCTTCTTCTAGGTGGAGCCTTGTGCTCTTCCGCAATGCCCTTTTGTTTTTTTTCGTGTATTCTTCCCTGATCTATGATAAGGAGCAATCTTGTTTTTTCTTGTAGACTCTTTTCTCAGGTTTCATTAATTTTGATTTTTCTCGACTTCTAGCACGTGAGGCGTGTTGATAGTGTCCTGAAATTTCTGGTAACTCAACCTTGAAAGAATATGTCATTGTGTGTAAACTTGGGACTTCAGCAGAAAATCTCCCGTCTCAAAAAAGAGTCACTACTTACAGGACAATCTAATAACGCATGAGTAATTGAGCCACTGTTAACTCATTGACACCCGTAGCAATTTCGGCGTGTCGCACAAGACGTGACATGATTGCATACTCGCGTGCACAAATGTCACATTCGGGATATTTTGTGGGATTTTTACACTGGATCCATATGTCTCGCTGCAACGACCCATGTTTTTCGCCTCAGGACCCACACAAACTCAAACTCAAGTATGAGCTCTCTCATTGCGTCGGCAGCGTTCTGATTTCACCCTCTGTTTTGTTCCGTCATCCTTATTTTTTGGTTCATGCTTGTATTTCGCTTCGCTTCTCATCAAAAAATATGTAGAGTTGTTGGCACACCTGAAGTTTTTTGTTGAATAGTTTGGGGGTTTAAACTAAGGCACTGGTTGTGCAACTTGAAGTTTCGAAAACTTCCTAAGATGAGAGCGGAGAGCAGCCATGTGCCTAATGGATTTAAAGATCTAAAGGAAATGCCATATGGCAATGCACGCGGGCTGCAATGTGTTAAGTTATTCCAGAGGGATGACACTTCTATTATTATTATCCGGAATCACTGCGCTTCTCAGTGCACGTTGTAGAGAAATCAGCAAAATTTCTCGATGAAGGAGAATTCTTCGTAAACTGGAGTATGAATGTATACTTTCAATACGATTGCGATGTGAATTCGCAGGAAAATGCCGCGTCATAGCATCTTTTGTTTCTTTTTCACTTTTACTCCCCATCTCCCCATGATCTCCATCTCGCTAATGAAACAGACGTAGATTGTGTCACTGATATCTCTATTGTTAAGCCGTCGAACGATAAATAAGAACAGTGGTAAATAGGGCAGAAGTGGCGAGTTATCTTTGCAATGTAGTCGGGCGTTCGTTCGTGGCAATGAGATTCTGGAAGGTTCTGGTTTACATCAGAAAAACATGTGCGTTCTCAGCGTAGCCAAAAACATGGTAAGCACGAGTGCACTGTCAAACTTTTCTGTACATAATGTAATAGGTTGCAGTGTTTTTTTCTAGTGAAATTGACTATAGTGTATTCAAAAAAATAGTGGAATTACCGCATCGCAATATGTCATCTTTACACATCGACATGGTACACTGAATCTAGCAGAGGTTGAACGGATGGACATGAAGCCACCCTAATACTTTACTTCAGACTTTTCTGTAGACAGAGTACCTGGCCATAACACAAAACTTCTGCGAGAAGGGATTTCTCGATTTCGTGGTATTGGAGAACTTGTAACTGAGGAACTGATTTGCTAACTCAGCTGGATTTTCTGATTAAACCTGAGAGCGAGAGCAACTCAGAACATGAAAAGTTCTTGATCCCTAAGGCGCTGCAGAAAACCTTGCATCATAAATAGTGAAGGTGTACCGTCGTGCATGAACTCCCCTTTTATCTGGAAACCTGCATTGACCCAAGAAGCGATAAATTTCAATATCAACCTATGTTGCCTGGAGAAGCAAGTGGCCAACCCTTGTCTTAGATACCGTAATTCTAGCGCATTCTGTATACATTTTATTTCACGCAATGGTGATAGGAGACCATGGTAAGCGAAAAACAAACCATGAAAATACCAGCTTTATTCTGCATGCGTTCTTTGCAAGAAGTGTGAACACGCTGTTTCAGATTTCTATCGATTTTTCGTAGCAGTATTGAAGATAAGCCTAAACATTTAGAAACGTGACGAGAGCTAAGCGACTTTGCTCACCAGCTCTCTGCTAAAATGACCGAATCAAGTCCCTTGAACTTTCTGATGAAATGTGTTCAACAGGGCTCAAGGGTGTAAGAAGAATCGTAAATACAGAGAGGAGAGAAAAAATCTTCGTGAACTTGAGTAAATTTGATGAGGCAGTAAAAATACTCCTGCCCGCGCAAGCCTACTGATTCCCTATAACATTATCACAGCACTTTGGCCCAGTCTGCAGGCGGGTCAGAACCTTGATGCGAGAGTCCAACCTTGACGCGTCTAAAGGCCATAACAAAACAGTGATATTCTGCCGTTTAACAACAAAAATTTTTCAAGAGTCTCACGATGTTTGGCTGGCTTTCCGAGTATTCTTTGTTGATCGGATGTTTGCGAGCTCATCGATCGCTTCTTCAGCAGACATGGGAGAGTTGGCACTAGCTGTATCTTCATACAAGATGAAACTATACCGCAAAGACTCGTTCACCATCAACCGAATAGATTCGCGAGTGTTTTTGATATTCTGTAAAGGTTTCCAAAACATTAATCAGTCTTAATCACTTGTCGTTACTGCAATATCTCACGTTCAACAGTACAAGATTAGTCAACAAATATTGACAGGGCCTGTCATTTGACTATGCCAGCCATAAATATTTTTCTTATCCGATAGTGAGCTAGTCGTAAATTACGTAGCTTGGTTACAAAAGCTTTTGCTTTTGTCACGTTGAGAAACCTCAGAATGATGTCACTACTCTTGTTTTCTGACCTTACTCATCATCGTATTTTGAAGGAGTGTTGGTGGCATAGGATTCACAACCCGCTGTAATTTTCCGAAGGTCCCTCTCTCTTCCTTGCCTTCAGACCCACGTACACCCTCGAAGACGTGAATGTTAGTGGAGGAGAAAGCAGAAAGACTTGAATTTTTCTTGTGAGGTAGGCTATAGTGCCGAGATACAGCGCCGCGAGGAGAGAGAAATGAGGGAGAACATAACTTCGAAGTCAAGGACCACGATTGAATTTATTTGATCACCTACCCAATATAACGTGGGACTGAGAGTACTGCAATTGGAGAACAAAAAAAATACTACTCTTCTTGCTCTACGCTGCGAAGAATTGTAAGAGGAAGGCAAGAAGACGAGAGAAAGAGAGTGTGTGTGAATAGCGGAGAGGGAAAGAGAAATTTGGGTAGAGTGAGGTTAGCATTGCAACCGAGAAAAGGTGTGGCGGTAGGCGAACCCTGATCGTTTTGGTAGAATTGATCCAAATCCTTAGTGCCTAACGTCTAGTCACGAGTTTCGATATTCAAAGGTGACGCGATCCCCCGCAGGGTTGGACTACACACATCCATCCAAGGGAGTGACTACGACAGTGAGAATAATCCCGGACCTTGTCTTTGAGTGTTCATTTTTCACACACGTGGTTAAACTTCTGAAAGTTCCTAACTCGAAAGGGTAGGTGGAGTACTAGGGAATCGCGTTTAATAATTATCAAGAGGTGAGTATATTACAGGGGAACAACTTTTATTGAAGATTTTTCTTGTAAATATGCCCTTTTCACATCAGTGGATTCTCGCATTACATGAACATTACTTGCCCACCTCATGCAGCTCACAAGGAAAGGCTCTCAGGTCGCCATAGCCATTCAAAAAGAAAACACTAAGTGTGCCTTCGAACGCTGATCCCAAATCTACCTTCCAAATCTACTAAACTATTCTCTGGATGGAGTTATGAAGCAAAGAGCGCAGCGGCAGTGGTCGGGATTTGCAGTCAGAACGTCGTAGGATCGGCCCCTGATCGCGTTTACGGTCCTGCGTTCTTCAGGAATCAGGATTATTAGGCTATTAAAAGCTCTCTAGCTTAGGCGCAGGAAAGGGGCATTAGGTGAGAAGTGTGATGAAAATTTGTTTCAGTTCATATCATCAAACAGCGGCGCTGCTACTACACACATGACAGATGAATAATAATAAAACATCCCAATAACGCACAATAACGCATCCCTTATAATTTTAGTGGCACTTCAATGCAATAAGGTCTATACAATGACCTCTATGCAGGTGCCATCTGATGCAAAATTCAATGCTCTTGAGGCTTGCCTGTTCTGAAAAGATTCAAGAATGATCTGGATCACCTGGTTCATGTAAGCAGCACCGCCTGACACTACTCCAGTTTCGTACTGAGTAGTATCGTGCCGAGTGCAGTTAGTCAGTGCTTCTTTTACGTTGTCCCACAATTACTAAATCACTTTTGCTATTTTTTCAATCCCAATTTTTGTTTATTATCTATCTGCTGTGCTTGCTCAACTGACTATCAAGCAGGTGGGGTGCGTTGCAGTTGTCCTTCTCAGGTTAGCTCACCTAAAATGGAGATCCAGCTTAATTTCCTGCTTGGCAAACCTGGAGGCAAGAGTAAACTAAAACTCCAAGCATGTCGGTCTCCCTGAAGAGGACAGGACAAAAAACGTGGAATCATTTTGAGGCGTCTCACGTGCGTGTCACGGTGGCGTCTTCTCTCCTGGAATGAAGGGCGGTATCAAAACATTAGTTGATTGATGACAAGCCTAACCCAGCTTTGCTTTGGGATACATTTGATTTGATGATGGTCAACACTTTTTGAAGGTAATTTTTTTCACAGACCTCCATACAATATTCATATTTAGTGATCTAATGCTTTGGTTACCATAATTTTGGCCCATCCTGAATTATCTACGAAATATTGCCTACGCGCGAAGACCTGTCGCCGGAAATTCTAAGGACTTCTGAGCGACGAAAGATCAGATGCCGGTGTTGAGTTCATGCCGCTCAGCGTACAATTTCTTTCCGAGGAAAGATGTGCTCTACAAAGATCGAAGTAATAACCACGAAAAGTATGGGGTAAATGTGCTGATAATTACTCAGGTAGTCCAATGTGGGTGGTACTTCACAAAACGTGTTTTACGCCCTCAACATTTTTCTAGAAATTTTTACAGTGGAATTAAAGTGACACATTACATACATATATGAGGCAACCCCTGATAGCGTACAACATATTTCCTTCCCTATGGAAGATGAAAAAGCAGCTACGCTGCAGACCTCAGCCTATTTCTGCCCTATAATCAATGTAAAGCTGGCATTCAGACGTCAAATTTAGAATTTAAATCAAATTCAAAATCTAACCAGTTGAAGGCTACAAATTTGGTTCTTTAACCGTATACGGGGCGCTAGATTGTCAGGATCTCCACGATAAAACGCAAAATACATAACGTTTGTATCTGGAATTAACCGAAGAATACTTTGTAAGATTAGAACTTTGTAAATAATAAAATGTACAGTGGAACCACCGAAATAATATAGAAATTCGCAGCACAGTAAAGGAATCCTTAAGGAGGATAATAGTGGTGGTTGGCATCCGCGACAGTGCCAGAGACAAGGAGGGAGGGCAAAATGTGGGGAGAGGGCGAAGAGTGGGCAAGAGAGGGGTTACGGGCAGGAATAGTTTAGCGATTGTCAAAGTCTATGTCTACTTCTCTCTACAAGTGTGCGGATAGTGGTCGCGATGTACACGCTGCCGCGTCGCGTAAAAGAGAGTTAAAGCAGCAACTCCAGATGAGGTCATGTCGAAGAATCTGTTCTGTGGGTGGGATAGGGTTGCCAACGAATGTCAGTGATGTGCCGTTGCTGCGGCTCGAAAGAGCACGACAGTGGCGCTAGCGCCTAGAAAGTGATCTAATGGCGTATAATGTGGACTTATGGACGAGATACCTCGCGCTCCCTTAACACTCGCGGATTACATCGTAAAGGGCAAGATAGCCGATAGGTAGATACATATGGTGGCCTCATCGCACCGATGCGGTCGCGTTAAAAATACGTGAGTCTGTTCTGATCAGACCAACTGATGCCTGCCCTCACTTCCTCTACGTTTTCCTAATAACGAAGTCTAAGCAGAATCATTGAACAGAATCGGAGATAGAGTACATCTGTGCCGCACTTCCGTGGCAATCTGAAAGAACAACGTGTACCCTGTATCTGCCTTTACACAGCAAGACGAGCTGAGATATAGGTTCTTGAAAATGTTGATGAAGGCTTGCGGTACACCATATGTTTTCAGAATAGCCCATTTGATTCCCGATGAATGCTATCGAAAGCCTTCTTGAAATCGATAAAGTTGATGACGATTTGCTGGCAGTACTCGACGCACTGTTCGATAATGTTGCGTAGCGTGCAGACTTGCTCACAGCACGACCTCCCACTCCTGTATCCCGCTTGTACCTTTCTCAATCCACGTTCCATCGACGGCTGCGCGGAGTCGCCGAAGTAGAACAACACAGAAGAATTTGCCGGGCACAGACAACAGTATGATACCCCTCCGATTTCCACAATCCGAGAGATTTCCTTTTTTAGGCAGTCTGACAATGATGCCTCTTCTCCAGTCTTTCGGGACTTCTCCTCGGCTCCAACAATGATTAGATGGCTTCACGAGTCTTTCCACTATTGCAATGTGTCCTGCCTTCAACAACTCTGCTGTAATTTCGTCTAGACCAAGAGATTTCCTATTCCGGAGGCACTCAATTGCTGCAACTACTTCTTCTGTCAATATGCATCCTGTATTAACCTCAAGCTCCTCGATTGGTCCCGTGTCATCAAAGCAGTAGATTCTCGGCGGATTGGGCTGATTGAATATTTCTCGAGAGATTCGAGCCATTTTTCATATTGTTCTTCTCCGCTCAAAAGAAGCCTGCCGTTTCTATCTCTTATCGGTACATTTGAATTATTCCGCTTTCCTGTCAATTCACTGACAATACGTCCGTCTAAATAAATAATAATAAAGTCTTTGAGTCTCCGTGGTCAGCGGCATATTGCACTTCCGTTCCTTTTCTTATGAGCAAGTCGTTTTTATCGTGATGACAGAGTTTCTTCACTAATCGGTTTAATTCAACGTACTTTCTAGTTGCTTCTTCCAGCTCCGTATCAGTTTTGGCTAGTTCTTTCTGGAGTTTTACGCACTTCCTCTCATCAATTTTTTGCCACGTAGTCACTTTAATCCACTGCTCTCTTCGTTTTCCACGTTTCCGGCCAACAACTTTTTCGCACATCTTCCATGTTATCCACTTCTCCTGAGAGATCGAATCGGTTTCGCAGCGCCTTAAAGTGCTTCTTAAATGGTAGTGCTTCTCAGTGCTTCTTAAATTCTCAGCTTAAGTTTGATTGCTGCTCTAATCATGTAGTGGTTCTATCCAATATCCGCACCTCGAAACGGACGAGGGGAAGTCCTCCACTTGCAGCTAATGCAGATGTGGTCATTTTCATTTAACGTTTTTTCGTCCGGAAAGAGCCAGGTTTTCTTGTGAATCTGTCCGTGCTGAAAGTACGTGTTCCCAATACAAAGGTCATTGTAGTCGCAATATGAGACCAATCGCTCCCCGTTATTGCTTAGTTCTTCAGAAGACGTGAATTATCCGATTGTACTCTTCGAAGCCACACCGATCGCCGCCTAGTTTTACATTGAAGTCTCCGAGAACAATTTTCATGTCTCTTCTTGGTGCACTATCGACAGTTTCGTGGAGCAGCTCATACAAATCGTTCGTCGTCTCGTCTCTCGAATCCTCCGTAGGTGCGTATACTTGAATGGCCGTGATGCGGGTGTGCTTTGTCACAAATCGCGCAGAGATTATTCGGTCGCTCACCTGATTCCAACCCACAAGGGCTTCTGCTGCTCGTTTGTGCAAAACAAATCCAACACCCCTCTCGTGTCGGTCTTCATGACCAGAATGTAAGACAGTCTTGTTTCCACGCGCCCGCTTCCCAACCATCGAACTTTACCGATTCCGAGAATGTCCAATCGATAGCCTTCGAATTCCCGGAGCAGCTGCGCGAGATTTCCAGTCTGATTCAAAGTGTACACGTTGTAGCTCAGCCAACGTCTCTATGATCTGCGGGCTCACAGAAATTTGTTTTTTCTCCCGAATAGTTATTTCACAGGGTTGCGTTTTCCCTTAAACCTATTCCTTTGGCTGTGGTGAACAGAACGTGAGCTACATAGCGCAGGATAATGTCGTTCTGGCATAGCCATGCACTCGCATTCCATTCTGGACTGCAAATGCATCGCATGAATGTTCATACAGCAATTGTGCAAACCAGCCTATACCAAGCTAAATCTTCTAAAATTGAGCTTAACTGCACAAACAACCAACATTCTATGACTACAGTATAATAGCGTCACACGAAATTAATTTCAGGATGAGTTACATCAACACAACCGTGCTGGATGTATTGAGCTACCAGTATGGCTTATTAGGCAATAGCAACACTTTCTGAATCGCTCTTCAGCGCGATATCGAACCACTGAATGATATCACCGCTCTTTTCTGTGGTGATCACTGCTTTCACTAGCCCTCGCTCCCAACACGTCAAATATGGTCCGCTGCCGCGGAGTCAGCCATACGTCTGACCCCGGGCTAAACTACACCACTATTACTTGATAAACAGGTTGAAATTCAAACTTAAAACGGACAGTTACACCACTAGTATACTACACTTTCTCCAGGGGTTCACTGGCGAAGCGGCTAAGGGGTTCCTGTTCAAATTATCAAATCAAATTCAGCAGCATTCAGAAGACCGTTTGGTTGTTGACGTTAAATGCAAATCGAGAAAGGGTTACCTTGCAAATATTCTTCGTTTGCAGTTTCTCCAGTTATTAATAGGACTATCAAAACAACCAAACCAGCAATGATTATTCCAAGCACGAGCACAACAATAAATATGGAAATTGCTTTTGCCATTATCACTGAAAACACAAGTATCAGTCAAAATGAGCATGCCGTGAACTTCTGATTTGTCCCGTAGGCATAATGTGCAGAAGCTCAGCTCATTTTCAACGCAGCTTCGCCAATCATCTCCCTCTTGCCCAGCTGGTCATGCCTAGCTCTGGTACGAAAACCAAATTTGGTGGCTTAACCTAAGGTTTTAAGGTGGCCTCATTTTGAGCCACGTTAAGAAACTCCGGGCTACGATATTTGGCATCACTCCCAGCAGTGAGGATCGGGGCGCTGAGAAGCGATATGAGAGAGATAGACAAGGAATGAGAGGGCGCAGAATCCTTCTTGTTGCGGGTGAGAGAAAGTACATGCGGTTGAAGCGGTCCCAACGCTCTGGTCGGGCCGTTCTAGGTCGAGCGAGCACAACACCCTGGTTTCAAGGGTACAGAACTATCTTACCAACTGAGGAGACAGTTCTGAATAATAATGACAGTTCTGAGGTTTTGAACATCTCGGGATGTTCCTTTAGGCGCAGACCAACCAAAACATAATAAGACTGAAAGCCACAGACTTAAGCTGTGATAAGGTCCGCTTGAAGAACGAGCATGTAATTCTTCAAGAATTTTAGCTCGCTTAGGAACGATGCATCATCATGAGTAGGGAGTGCCCTGCCGATTCCGCCCGACACGTCTCTAGAAATTCCATTTCAACCACAGTTTTCTCGTTATTGGATACATCTGGGATACAAGGATACAGGGATAACACTTCCGATCGTTCCCTCAGTCGAGAAGCTGCGACAATGCGTGAGCCTGATACGACACTATACACCAACTGCTCAAATTTCTTTGACAGGGAACATTGCAGCAACCGTCGCGACTCGTCTCTCGCATTCCCACTCCCACTTGTCCCAGTAACTCCAAAACTGGTGGAAAGAGAGAGGTGTGTATTTTCTGGATCACCTATGCGATTACTATAACCTCTGTAGTTACAGGAAAAGTTCTGAATTCATGGTTTGCGACTCATTTATTCAACGATAAACGAGTTCGCTCAATGCTTTCCAGAAGGAAACTGCAATAAAACTTTCACTGAAGAGTCGGGACAAAGAAAGCCGTCAAAAATTCATAAATATGAGGAAGTGGTCATAAAGGAATAAACTGGCAGGTGAGATGCAGTTTTCCTTAGAACTGATAAAATAGTACAAAGATGTTACCCGTAGAAATTGCTCATCACCTGATAAATTATCAGTTTTTTGAAATGCACGTAAAACAGTAAAGCGCTGATGACAACCTTTGCTCACGTGGACCTAATAGATCAAAAAAATATTAGAGCATCATTCGTTAAGAGAATTTAGGCAGGGAAAGTTCAGCGTACTCTTGAATGCCCAACAGCGAATGAAAGCACACCCACGAACAGTTTAGATGGATCAAATCCAGTGCTGGCTATTACAGAGCAGTGCACTTTCGCCGCAGATGTGACGTTCTCGCGGCTCGCAGTGCTCGGCTAGGGCGTTGGGGCATGTCACGACAAGGGTCAAAGCGAGGCGTTGAGGAAAATTTTAAAATACGTCTCCCCCCCCCCCCAGCGGCCGAAGTCCACGGAATGACTCTCCTCAACTCCTCACAAGCCAAAGCATGGAAAAGTTGTGAATTCCTCGTCGAAAACTTTTCATCAACAAAACGTGCTACTCCCCCTGTACCTTAAAAGTCGTTCAACTAGTAGAAAAAGTCGAATAAAACCATTAACAATGAGCCCTAACAAAAAAGGAGCAAAATACCACGAACTATTCATGAAAAATGGCCACTATGAGAGTATCTCTTCCTAATTTATCTCCTTTGAAAGGCTTATTTAGTCACAATACCACACAAAGTATACTTCTCAATTTACATGTCCCCCTTTGAGTTGAAAAGCTTCGTAACCGCCCTGGCCAGCTGGGTGTTGATTGATCTTCGGCGTTAACCATGGAGCAGCTTATCTACTACTGAAATTTGTACACTTATTCAAATGATTATAACTTTTTTCAAATATGACGAATTTTCAATCTGAAAGGGAATATTGTTAAGAGCTTTTTCTGATCAGTGTTGAAAATATGAAAATTAAGGATAGTGGATTCGGTCGTTTGATTTTACATGGTCCCTTTCAGAATCCTCTTGGTTTTCTCTGAATCGAAATTTTCACATCAGATGGCCGTTATGTAATAGCACGCAACCGGTTTGGCCCACTCTGGGACGCGCCGTGCGCTTCACATCCCTTCATATTGGTGGAATCATTTGGAAGATGAATGTCCGTAGGAAGACGCGCGAATTTCGGAATCTTTACCCTATTCGTGATGATCACCAAGAGTAAAAAATGCGGGGGATAGAATTACTGCGCTTACCCTATTGACAAAGTAATTTATGTGGGCGAACAGTGCTATTCGAAAATCTATAGGCCAAGCTTTCAGGAGCATCGATCACTCTGAAATGTTTTTGTTTTATGAAGTCCTTCGACGTGTGTCCTACCACATCATCCAGTCCGACCCCTCCTTCCAGAGGGCCATATACGCCCGCTGCGACTGCCGACGATACTCAACGCACGCTTGACCCTGGTCATAGCCGCGTGTCGACCTTCCCAACAAGTTGAATACTGTTGCGCCGTTCCTCTCGCGCTTTTAACCCGCAATTCGATATTTGCAGCAAAAGTGCAAGAAACGTGTCTAATTAGAAATTAACCACTTCGTTCCTAACTTTACCGAGTTCTATAATAGTAGGGAGGTCATGTAATCCCGAATAGTTCCTCAACGCGCAGTGATGCATTCTGCTTCTTTCTTTGCAAGTTCAAGTAGTGAGTCATTACTCTTTGTTTCGATCAAACTCAAAAATTGAATAAAGTCTACGCACAGTAGCAAGGACAAATGAAGACCACAACCGCTTGCGCAATCAAGGATGGAAGAGCTTCTTGATAGGAATGGTGGATGACGACTGTTTGGAGACAGTATAGTCATGACAAACCCTGCTGCGTTTGCTAGACGAGCAATTCAGAAATGATTTGCCATAAGACTTCCGCAACTTGCACGAAAAAAAGTTAAGCTGCCCATAAGCATCGAGACTCCTCCGCGAGTCGACACAAATGTTTTAAGCAAGAATAAAAAAACCGAAGTAACATAAATTAATCGCTGATGGTTCTTTCCTCTATTGCATTACGACTTTGACTCCGTTTCAGCAGAAATCTGAGGGTCTGTCAACGGTTCTGGGATAAGACAAGGCTTGACCCTGTTGAAGGAAATACTCGTACTTCAAGTTTTTTTGCCAAAAGTATGCTTTAAAATGATCAAAAGGCCAAAATATCACTCGGCGTTTGTTTTCTGCCGTGCATGTTGTTACGAAGAACTTCCTTTATTCAGTCGACGTTGTTCGAAATAATCGTTGGCGTTTCTTCAGACCTGAAGGCGATTTGGAGTGATCGCTGGTGGGTAACGCTACCCAGTTAGAACGAGCCCTTACAAGTAGCTTTCAAGAGCGGCGAAATGAAAATCCCAACCAGGAAATTAAGGGGGGGGGGGGGGGCTCAGTTAGGTGTCGACCAGCGCCACAGGAGCGTCTATTTCTCGAACAGATGTGGGGTGATGAGATCACGCATGACAAATGAGGCAGCGAAGATCGGGTCATGGGCGGGGCCAGCGATTATTGCGCGTATACTTTCCCTCCCAACGTGCCACATACAGTAATGGAAAGGCGAGCTTCATGTGGCGAAGGGGAGTGTGTTATGCTTGTGGTGTTAAGTATAGTGGGGGGATTTCGACCACGCGTGGATGTGAACAGCTTCAGGAGTGTGGTTGGAGCGCTCGTGCTGCGCTGGCGGGAGAGAGTTTGGGGAGTTCGATTTGGGTGTGTGTGTCGGTTGTGGCGTGGTGTGTATTATGTCAGTGGAATTGCGTATATCTGCGGGTTTGGGAGAGGGGGTGATTGGGGGGGGGTGTGCCCAGGAATTACACGCGTCGAGACGTGCGAGGAGGCGAGTTGCAGGGGTCCTGAAAGACGAGGCGAGGGCTTGTTAGGTAAACGGGGCGCGGGGGGGGT